TGGAGATTAGCTACGAGCCCGCGCGCGCCAACAAGGAAGCCCGCGCGCGCCAAGAGATACTCTTCTCCCCCTCCTTCCCCATTATCATATACCAATCAGAATGTAACTCGCTGCGCCACCCCTGCTATGCAGCCAATCCCCTGCCTACAAGTATCCTATGGCCCACTCTGCCCCTGAACACTGGTGTATATCTACCCCCGTCTTACAATAAAATTTGAAGGCTTGATCAGAATACTGTCTTGCCTTCGCTCTTCTCTCGCCCCCATTTTCTTTCAGGTCGGATCCCCCTCGTCCCCACAAATAACTAAGTCCCGCTGGACGGGACATTATGTAATGTTAACTCATTAACCTTCACAGGAGCCCTCTGAGGCGGATACAATTAGCCCCATTTTCTGGGCAGAGAAGATGAAGGTAAGAAGCATAGCTAGTAAGTACAGAAGTCCTCTGCTATAGACAATGCTTGATCTCCCCCAGATTCCTGTGTTGAAACCTAATCCCCCAGTGTAATGGTGCTTGGAGGTGGGGCCTTTGGGCAGTGATTAAGCCATGAAGGTGGAGGCCTCATGAATGAAATCAGCGCTCTCGTAAGAGGCCCCAGAAAGCCTCCTCCCCCCTTCCACCGTGTGAGGACATGGTGAGGAGACAGCTGTCCATGAACCAGGAATCAAGCCTCCAGACACCAAGTGTGCTGGTGCCTTGATCTTGGACCACCGTTTCTGCTATTCATTAGCCACCCAATGCATGGTTTGGTTGTAGCAGCCCAAACGGACTAAGATGCCCACTTGTGTGCCACACAGCAGGGCAGCAGAGCCTGTGTGCACCACTGCCCTGTGCTGACCATCAGGAGACAGGCAATTCCCCTACACATGCCTCACGTATGGAGGCTGTGGTGTCAATTGCCAGGGTAAATACAGAGCTTCTGAGGAAGAGCAATTACACACCTTGACAAATGCAGTTATTCAAATATAGGTCCCAAGCTAACAGACTCACACATTTAGGATAAATGGAAACTTGTGCAGTCATATTTGGAATAACATCAAAGCCATATTTGCATTCACATAAGATTCCTAAAATACTGTGTTTGCACATCAATCAAAAAATCTTTCTGGGGCTGGTCAGTCAGTCTGATTTAAATGCCCAGATGTTCAGCCTTGACATCAGCCCCACTGCTCACAGCCCCACACAGGGGCCGAGCTTACAGGGCCAGAGGTTCCTTTCCGGCAGCTGCTGCCACGGTGGATGCCAGCTGCCCAGAGGTAGATGTGAACACTCCCTTCTGGAAAGAGGGCTGTTACCCTGGTTTTGCCTGCTCTGGATGCCAAATTTTTCACATCAATGGACAGTTTATTTCCATTTATCAGGTTTCTTTAAATGCTTTGAAGGAAGATCTTGGTCTTTACCTGCCAATCTCAAAGTCCATTGTAGGTCTGGACTCCTGGTCGGGGAGTCACAGCTTCACGGATGAGTCTGGAGACTGTGCTTCCCTGTGGGTGGTGGTGCAGTGGCATCTCTATCACTCCAGCCAAGATGCTCCACCTCCCTCTGTGAGCCTTATTCTCTGGCAACAATGCTTAAAGAAAGGTACTTTCAGATTCTTTGGGGAAGAAAGAGTCTCTTCCTGATTAAGATTTCTTTAAAAAAAAAAAAACACCCTCATTAAACAATGCCACTTCCTGAATGTGGTAGCTGGTCTCCGGAGATGGTTCCTGATAGGCCACACCTCCCAGTCTTCACAGACTTGGGTAGCTCCCTCCCTCACTGAGTCAGTCGGCTCTGCCCAGGGAAGGGCAGTGGGAGCAGCTCAGCCCCAGTTCCAGCGTGCAGCCTTCAGAAGGCCTATCAGCTTCTGCTTCTACGCTCTTGGGAGCCCCGAGCTGCCATGTGAGAAGTCCAGCTACTCTGTCGGAGAATCATGTGGAGAGGTCTTGCAGAGTAAGAGGCCCTGAGGAGGACTGAGGCTCCAGTCAAGCTGTCCCCTCTAGCCCTGAGGCTCCAGCTTCCCAACTCGGTCAACAAACATTTGAGTGGAGAAGCTATCTGGGATGTTCCTGCCCAGCAGACTGTATAGAACAGAGATGATCACTCCTGAGTGCCCTGTTCGAATTCTTGACCTACGGAATTGTGAGTATGAGTAACCGAATTCATGCCTTAAGCCACTAAGGTTTGAGATAGGTCTTTATGGCAGCATCAGATAATAGAAACACCGTGTGGCCCTATGTAACACCAGTAACTGCATCAGTGACTCAAGCCTGACGACTCAGCCACGGCACTCTCTCGTTTGGGGCTTCCAAGCACAGAGCAAGTTTCCCAGAATTCCTTCCCTGCCTCCAAGCCACCACCCCAATGACATCAGGAAAGTATATGGTTATACTACTTACAACTACTTAAGTCACCATTGTATGTAGATATGTGCAATTACTTGAGTTTATTTCCTCTATGAAACTGTAAGCTCCATGTGGGCAGGAGGCCAAGGGCAATGTTTATTGCCACATCTTTCACTTTAGCACAGGACTCCCTGCGCAGTGGACATTGAAAAGATATATATTTGAATGAATAAATGCATTGGCATGAAGTTCAGAGTATCTGAAGCATACAGATTGAGAAAGCGTGCATTTGCCAGGCTAAGGGGTTTGAACTTGATCCACTAGCGAGTGAATGAACAGAGGAACAAAATGGCTTAAATTTTACCATTTGCACTGTTAATCCACAGAATCAATGCAACTACCTAATCCTTTGAGTTGTTGAATGTCCCTAGGTAATTAGTTTCCTGGCACATTGCCAGGTAGAATACCGTTTTACCTCCTCATGCATTTCTAGCATTCCTGGAAATATCTGAAATAGAAATGAGTACTCAATATTTTAGTTTTTTTTAAATTGCCTGTACTTCAGTATAAAAACATTTACAAAAATGTACTACTCTAAGTTGGACTCAAGATGTTTCATTGTCGGTGGGCATTATGAGGTCAGTAAAATGTCCTAAGACTTTGGGAACCAAAAAACTGTTTAATATAAAATATATACCGTGCTACAATATTAAACATATAATTATGCATAGATACTGAGAACTGCTGGGTGACCCATGAATCATCTACCTTGCCCACTACTGCTGCTTCATTCACGGTCAGTGTCTGGAAGTTTCTCCCAGGTTGGAAACTCCATTAAAAGCTGTCACTGTCATGGCCCACCTGTCTTCTAGTGCTTTTTATATACTGTTGAGTCCTCTCTGGTACTCTTGTCAATAACCAAGGGCCAAGCAATGTGCCCACTCCAGGCCCTAAGTCATTAACACCAAATCAAATTGTGAGCCCTAAATCACTCCCTGTCCAGTCTTCCCAAGTGATGGAGGCAAAGCCAGCAGTCACCCCTCCCAGCCCGCTGGCCAGCCCTTGCCTTGGGGGCACCTTGCTGCCTCCTGTATGTACCTGGCCTTCACAGTGCTGATATCATCACCAGTGCTGATCAGCTGTTCTTGCTGTGCTTCCTAAGTTTTCCTAAACTATATGGCTCGTACTCACAATGTCCCATATCTATTCCTCCCTATTTATAGCCAGAGAAATCCATACCTATACTTCACAAACCAAAAACAATAGAAGAAACAGGTTGACATCAGCCCCACTGCTCACAGCCCCACACAGGGGCCGAGCTTACAGGGCCAGAGGTTCCTTTCCGGCAGCTGCTGCCACGGTGGATGCCAGCTGCCCAGAGGTAGATGTGAACACTCCCTTCTGGAAAGAGGGCTGTTGCCCTGGTTTTGCCTGCTCTGGATGCCAAATTTTTCACATCAATGGACAGTTTATTTCCATTTATCAGGTTTCTTTAAATGCTTTGAAGGAAGATCTTGGTCTTTACCTGCCAATCTCAAAGTCCATTGTAGGTCTGGACTCCTGGTCGGGGAGTCACAGCTTCACGGATGAGTCTGGAGACTGTGCTTCCCTGTGGGTGGTGGTGCAGTGGCATCTCTATCACTCCAGCCAAGATGCTCCACCTCCCTCTGTGAGCCTTATTCTCTGGCAACAATGCTTAAAGAAAGGTACTTTCAGATTCTTTGGGGAAGAAAGAGTCTCTTCCTGATTAAGATTTCTTTAAAAAAAAAAAAACACCCTCATTAAACAATGCCACTTCCTGAATGTGGTAGCTGGTCTCCGGAGATGGTTCCTGATAGGCCACACCTCCCAGTCTTCACAGCCTTGGGTAGCTCCCTCCCTCACTGAGTCAGTCGGCTCTGCCCAGGGAAGGGCAGTGGGAGCAGCTCAGCCCCAGTTCCAGCGTGCAGCCTTCAGAAGGCCTATCAGCTTCTGCTTCTACGCTCTTGGGAGCCCCGAGCTGCCATGTGAGAAGTCCAGCTACTCTGTCGGAGAATCATGTGGAGAGGTCTTGCAGAGTAAGAGGCCCTGAGGAGGACTGAGGCTCCAGTCAAGCTGTCCCCTCTAGCCCTGAGGCTCCAGCTTCCCAACTCGGTCAACAAACATTTGAGTGGAGAAGCTATCTGGGATGTTCCTGCCCAGCAGACTGTATAGAACAGAGATGATCACTCCTGAGTGCCCTGTTCGAATTCTTGACCTACGGAATTGTGAGTATGAGTAACCGAATTCATGCCTTAAGCCACTAAGGTTTGAGATAGGTCTTTATGGCAGCATCAGATAATAGAAACACCGTGTGGCCCTATGTAACACCAGTAACTGCATCAGTGACTCAAGCCTGACGACTCAGCCACGGCACTCTCTCGTTTGGGGCTTCCAAGCACAGAGCAAGTTTCCCAGAATTCCTTCCCTGCCTCCAAGCCACCACCCCAATGACATCAGGAAAGTATATGGTTATACTACTTACAACTACTTAAGTCACCATTGTATGTAGATATGTGCAATTACTTGAGTTTATTTCCTCTATGAAACTGTAAGCTCCATGTGGGCAGGAGGCCAAGGGCAATGTTTATTGCCACATCTTTCACTTTAGCACAGGACTCCCTGCGCAGTGGACATTGAAAAGATATATATTTGAATGAATAAATGCATTGGCATGAAGTTCAGAGTATCTGAAGCATACAGATTGAGAAAGCGTGCATTTGCCAGGCTAAGGGGTTTGAACTTGATCCACTAGCGAGTGAATGAACAGAGGAACAAAATGGCTTAAATTTTACCATTTGCACTGTTAATCCACAGAATCAATGCAACTACCTAATCCTTTGAGTTGTTGAATGTCCCTAGGTAATTAGTTTCCTGGCACATTGCCAGGTAGAATACCGTTTTACCTCCTCATGCATTTCTAGCATTCCTGGAAATATCTGAAATAGAAATGAGTACTCAATATTTTAGTTTTTTTTAAATTGCCTGTACTTCAGTATAAAAACATTTACAAAAATGTACTACTCTAAGTTGGACTCAAGATGTTTCATTGTCGGTGGGCATTATGAGGTCAGTAAAATGTCCTAAGACTTTGGGAACCAAAAAACTGTTTAATATAAAATATATACCGTGCTACAATATTAAACATATAATTATGCATAGATACTGAGAACTGCTGGGTGACCCATGAATCATCTACCTTGCCCACTACTGCTGCTTCATTCACGGTCAGTGTCTGGAAGTTTCTCCCAGGTTGGAAACTCCATTAAAAGCTGTCACTGTCATGGCCCACCTGTCTTCTAGTGCTTTTTATATACTGTTGAGTCCTCTCTGGTACTCTTGTCAATAACCAAGGGCCAAGCAATGTGCCCACTCCAGGCCCTAAGTCATTAACACCAAATCAAATTGTGAGCCCTAAATCACTCCCTGTCCAGTCTTCCCAAGTGATGGAGGCAAAGCCAGCAGTCACCCCTCCCAGCCCGCTGGCCAGCCCTTGCCTTGGGGGCACCTTGCTGCCTCCTGTATGTACCTGGCCTTCACAGTGCTGATATCATCACCAGTGCTGATCAGCTGTTCTTGCTGTGCTTCCTAAGTTTTCCTAAACTATATGGCTCGTACTCACAATGTCCCATATCTATTCCTCCCTATTTATAGCCAGAGAAATCCATACCTATACTTCACAAACCAAAAACAATAGAAGAAACAGGGCACCTATGTGTGTCCAGAGAGAAATGTATATCCATACTACTATACAGATACACATAATAGAGGACACAGAATCCCCATACCTGTCAACACAAAGGACAAACAAAACCCTGTAATAGTGAGCTTCCTCTGCTAAACAGACACCACCTTTCTGCCACCACCAGAGCTGTGGCAACTTAGATGTCTGTTTTGAATCCATGACTCCTTTCTGGCGAATGCTTGCCAATTCTGTGAGGGGCACAATGGGAATTGTGGGAAGGAGGGTAAATTAGTTCAGGTAATGATAGCCACTACAACAGAAAAGTGGTGAATCTCAGTAGCTTTAACATAACAAGTTTATTTCTACTCAGGCATTGTCTAATCAGCAGTGGGTGGGGAGGATTCTGATCCATTCAGTCATACAGGAATCCAGGCTGCCAGAGGGTCTGCCCTCTTCAACACTGGCTTCCAGCCTCACCCTGGGGATCCACACTCAGCTGGCAGATGGGGGAAGAGAGAGGTTAGGATGGCATGTGGGAGGGTAAAATGGCATGCATCATTGCTCTCTCTATTCCACATGACCTAGTCATGGGGCCAGATGGAATTGCAAGGGGCACCACGAAATATAGTGTAGCTGGGTACCTCAGAGGAAGGAGACAGGGGTCCAGGAATGGCCATTCTCTGCTCCAAAAGGATGGGACTCTTCATTCATTTGGCTGGCTATCTTTTTTCCCCTTCTTGTTTTTCTAAGTGGGAATAGAACCATTTCCTTTCTCTTTGGATTATTTTTTCCCCAGTTAGATCTCACTGCCCACTCAGCCTACCCATACTTTATTCTGGTCCAGTTTTGAACTATGGTGGAAATAACACCCGCCCCCCTCCATGGGTAAGGGGTTTCAATGTGCATAGCTACCTCCAGTGACGCAGTTTCACAGCAGTCTGCTGAGGGCACTTTTAAATCAGCTTCCCCAGGTTTCGAGGAAAAGCCTTCAGTGAAAACCTTGGAAATCAAGGGATCCCAGACACTGACTAGGACCCTGGAACAGTAGGAGGAGGACAAAGCCTGACCTCCAAAGTCCAAGGAAGGTGAGCCTGGAGAACAAGGAACTCATCTTAAGGGAGACGAGCCCATACATTTAATCCACAGGACCATGGGTGACGATGAGGGAATGTGTGCCTCTTGGAGTGGGGCTGCCTGAGCAGCTGCCGAGCTCAGCCCTGGGGACTTAATCTTCCTTCCTTAACAGACAACCGTAATCTCAGTCATAATAATCCCACCTTTGTGCAGAGCTTCATAGTTTACAAAGCCCCTCATAACTAGTATGTAATTTACTTTTCTTAACAACAGAAGACAGATAGTGTCGTACGCCCTCTCCATCTCCATTTCGTCATCTCTCCGGGGACACTTACACCAGTCTCTCTGCATCCGTTTGCCTCCCTCTAGTCCATTCTCAACACTGGAGCAGAGTAACCTCTTTCACAAAGAAAGCTGGCCCCTTCCTTCCCCTCCTAAAGCCCCTCGGTAACTCCCCTTACACTTAGGATAAAATCCCATCCTGAGCGCTGCCTGTCAGGCCCTCCACGGTATGACTCCTTCCTGCCTCTGCAGTTTCATTTCTCCCTTCCACTCAGTCTGAACTCTGTGCTTCCGCAGCCCTGCATGGCATACGGTTCCACACGAGCCCTGTACAGTTTCTCACTTCTGCGTCTGATTTTCCTGGGCTTTCTCTTTGAAATGCCACCTGTCCTCGCTTTGGTTCTTTGGGTTGCTAACTCCTCCTCACCCCAAATGGGCCAACTCAAACATCACTTCCGAGAAACCTTTCCCGGTGGCCACATACACACACACACACACACATTTGGCTGCACACACCCTGCACTGTGCAGATACCGACCTTTGCATTTATCACACTGCACTGCCCTGATATATTACTGCAGCTGTGCCTCTGTCCAGGTTGTCGGCCATCCTAGAGAAGGTCTATTACATATTCATCTTTTTACCCTGGCACCTAGCATTGTGCCTGATATCTAGTAGGCTCTCAGTAAATGGTTTTTGAAACATTATTTCAATAAGCCTGCATTTGAAACTAGGGAAACTACTGTTCAGAAGGCTTAAGGGATTTGTCAGGATATAAACTAGTAAGCGGGAGAAGTGAAATGCTAATCTAGGTCCTCTGATACCCCAAACACTTGAAACTATGCCACACCACCTTCGGAGGAACTGAAAATCATTTTGTGAAGTGGAAAAGTTATATTTCTTGAGGGAATTTTTCTTTTGTGTTTTGTTTTTACATCTTTCGAATTTCAAATCCTTTTGAGAATCTGAGGAAAGCTGTAGGCTTTTTCCCCAGAAAAATTAACATATACACCAAATTTTGTATGTAACATAAGAGTATATTAGGGTAGGATAGCTGTGGCTACAGTGACCTATAAACCACAAATCTAAATGACAGCACAACAGAAGTTTAACTCACTTTAAAGTTCCCTGTAGGTCAGCAGGGATTCTCCTCCCTGCAATGAGTTAGGGTTTTAAGCCCCCTCCACCATGAGTCGCTGTTGTCTCAACACATGCTTCCAAATTATCACACAGAAGACAGAAATGAAGACACACTGGTTTATTACTGCTTCAGCATTAAAATGGCACATGGCGATGGTAAACTGCAAAAAGTCCACAAATTCCTTGCATCTTGTATGGACTCCCTTTTGCAAAGTGACTCTGTGTTTCCTCCTATCCACAGGTCCCGTCTATCCATCTTTTGAGTGTGGGTTTGGCCATTGCTTTGGCCAACTGGACACTAAAAAACATGAGAGTTTTAAAAAGCACTTGTGCATCACAGCCTGACCTTCCTTGCTGCTCTTTGGAACCATGAGATAACCATGAAGAAGACTGAGCTAATCTGTTTGGAGACATATGGTCCAGTTACCCCCATCACTTCAGCCAACAGCTAGTACCTACAGCCAGACAGGATGAATCCTCAAGCAGGTGAGTAAGACCATCCTGAATCAGCCAGCCCCCTGCCGACCCACCAGCCAGCTGAGGTTGCATGAATGAATCCAGACAAGACCAGCAGAACCACCCAGCTTAGCCTAGACCTACTTTTTGACCCAAATAATTTTAAGCTAATAAATTACTATTTTAAGATACTAAGTTTGGGGATTACTTGTTAGGCAGCAAAAGCTAACTAATATAAAAATATGTATCAGGAGTGGAGTGTTGACATAACAAAAATCTGAAACATGTGCCATTAACTGTGGAGCTGGATGCTAGAAAATTAGTTATCAAAGACTGGAAAAACAATGAACTGTTATTGGATGCACAGACCTGGGCCTATGAATTTCTGCATATAATTTAAAGGCCTGGAGACACATGATCATTTTTAAAAACTCTCTGCAGTTCAGCAAGGAGATCTATGGCCAGAGAGTATTAAGGTGTGATAATTGTGTGGTAACTGTGCTGGACCTAAATCATTCCTCAGACTTCCTAATTGCAGAATAAAGCCTTGGAGTTACAAAAAGAAGAGTTTGGGAGTCAGAAAAAAAACTTGTACCTGACAGTGGAACCAGTTGTGAGACCCCCATCTCAGAGGTATTGCATACTTTGTGGCTTATTGTCAGTATCAAACAAGAGGCTGTATGGGAAAACCTGTTTAATTGCTAAGAACTGTCTTTGAAAAGCATGTGTATCAGGGCAGCCTGAGGCTGCCATCCTCCTGGCCTGACCCGAGGTGAGCACCACCTGCAAACACCAGGGGGCGCCATGAGATTGGAATTCCAGGAGACCTACTAGAGCCTGGACTCAAAAGAACCCAGGAGAGTCAGTCAGCTGGGAAGGCTATCTTGAGAAAGTTAACATTAGTATGAAATGTAAGTAACAAGTCATATTTAGCCAAGTGGCACATATTCTGGGCAGAGGGAACAGCATGCACAAAAAGCTGGAGGTGAGAGAGTACACGATTCACTCATGTAATTGCTTTTCTCTAAAATTTTTAGTTTCTTCCGTAAGTCCATCAGGTTGAGGAGATGGGAGACGAGTCTTTATCTTAAAGGATGTGGCTTCTCTTAAATGCAGGCAGATATGAGAGAGGGCATGGATCTTTCTTGAAATGTAATTTTCTGCTTGTTTGTAAGTGATTAACTACCATAATCAATTGAGTCAAGGGTCAGGTCACTGCATCCTTTGGGACAGCGGTGGGATAGTCCCTTGTGCTTGGGGTAATGATGCCTGGAATGCATGCAGGGTGGCCCAGCTTGTGTCTTTGGGCACATTAAGGTGAAGGAACAACTGGCCTCTGTGGCTTTCCATCCATCTCCTTGCTACTCTTTCCTATTTGCATTTCCAACCCAGTCCAGCTACTCTGGTAGACATGGCAGGCTGGGAGCAGGCTGGTATTCTAACCTGTGTCAGGAAACAGGTTAAGGGGCTTAATGTTTTATATGTTCAAACCTGAAAGCAGCCATATAAAATAGGTGTTAATGAATTATTAGCCCCATTTGTCCAGATGCCAAAACAGTCTTAGAGAAATTAGGTAGCTCATTTAAGAAAGTCAAATCCAGTTTGTGTTCTTTCTGCCGGCCCACCCTCAAGTTGCCTGCTGCCTCCCCACTCTGAGGCCATTCACCTCCTCCTGCAATATCAACAGGACAGCCAACCACTGTGTTCACACAGTCCTTTATGGGCGGCGGACTGGTTTCACAAATGCAAGGTTAGTACAGTTTAGACATGAATTTGTTGATTCTGAGGAGTCAATGGTTTTCAGGGAGGTACACTGGAGAGCCTTGACCATTTGCACATTGCCTCTGAATGTACAATGCTTCTTAAACACTCCACTCCTGCCTCCTCACCCCAGGCAGGGTAGGTGCCATCTCTAGGTTGCAGTCAGGGCTGACACTGTCCACAATGGAACTGAAAATGTGTAGACACTCATGCCACATCTGGTCGCAAGTGGTCAAGGTGTCACTGCTAGGGGGGTCGTTGTGAACATTTGCTTGGATTGTGCAGGTTCAAGACAGCCTCGTGTAATATTTTCCTTCAATTCCCTTTAAAGGTGAGACCACAAAGAAATGATCGGGTAATCAGTGTAGTATTGAGAATAGTGAAAACATGAAGGGGAAGCACTCTTCTAGGTTCAAATAAAACAAGCTTGACTCACCATACCTGAGTGGCACCTTCCTTTCCTGTGTTCAACCCTAGAGGAAAGACAGCGGGTCCCCTCTGGCCTTTGCCGTGGGAGAGGTGGTAGGTGAAAGGCAAAGACATTTACTGAGCTCCTTTCAGGTGCTCCTACTATCCCTTGTGAAGCTTACTAGCCAATCCTGGGGACAAATGTTAAATCTACCAATACCAATGATCTCCGTTTCACTTCCCAGCAAGGTCAGGGAAGCGATCTGCCCTGCACACAGTGAAGCGCTTGGCAGTCATATAATAACAACACACATATTTGGATAGTTGTTCTGTTATAGTTACCATTTTTATACTGTCTATTTGTGGAACATTTTCACACCGAGTATCTCATCTGACTATCCCAACCGACAGGTAGGCATAGCCCTCCCAGGTTTACACCTAAGGAAACAGAATCAGGGACAGTTCATAAAAATAGCAGGTCACTTAATAAAGAGAGCATGGAGTATGTGCTAGGCACTGGCCAGAGTGTTTTAAATATTTAGATTTATTTACTGTTTGCAACAACCCTGTGAGGTGGGTACTGTTACTATCCCTATTTTGCAGATGGGGAGGGTTAGGCCCAGAGATCTTAGTAGTTTGCCCTGGGTCACATAGCTGGTAAAACATACAGAGAGAACTTGAACCCAGGTGGATGGGCTCTAGAGTTCTATAGCCTCTTGTCTACTTGCTCAGCATCATGTAGTTAAAAAAGAGGCAAAACTGGAGTTCCAAGCTTGGCCTGTCTCCAAACCTTTTACTCTACTTAGTCATAATAGTTCAAATGTCTGGGGCTTCAACACGGTCCTGTTCTAAGCACTTTCTCATATAAAGTTACATTGCACCATTTTGCAAGTGAGAAAACAGGCATAGAAATAAAGTAGTTTGCTCAAGGTCACAAAGCTGGTAAGTGGCAGAGACAGGATGTGGACCCAGGCAGTCTGAACCTAGAGCCCACAGTCCTTACAGCCTTAGCAGCCTGGCCTCTCGGCTGCTCTCCCAAAAGCTGGTTACATGTGCCGCAGTGTTTTCCCTCATTTTCATTGGTTTCCAGAGTCACAGTGAAGTTTTCTGCCTGTGCAAAGTCTAAGGGGTTTCCAGTCACTGGTGGCTTTCTGTTTACTTTGCGGAACTGTTTGCTCTATGGGGACAGAAGGTGACAGTAGTGCTCCCTGTGCAGGCTTCCTATGGATCTAGGAGCCTCCACTAGATCCCCCATCATATAGAGAAAAGCAAGATGTCCAGGACACGGTCCTGGAGGATGCCAGCAGAGCTCATTCTCCTCTGCGCTGCCCTGTGTTGTCTCAGCTTGCCTGGCTACCGGTAAGTGACATCTGCAAATGATTCCCCGATCGGTAATATGACAGGGACTATAAAGCCACATAAGGCTGACTGCTTCTGTGTTGTGTGTATATTGAATAAGGAACATCTCTTCAAGCAATTTGCATGCATCTGATAAAATGGTAGCAACAAATTATCATGGAACCAAGCAGCTGGCTTCAACAAAAGTTCCTCTACGAAACTGACATGTTTAAATGTATTTTGTCATGCTGAGAAGAATAGGATGCTTGTTCTGTGTTCTGAAAAAAGCCTCCGTGTGATTCTTTATGCAAAAGATTTGTTTTGTATGGAAAAAAGAGCCAATTCTTGTTAATGATTTTAATGACAGTGATGCATTCTACCTGCTCATCACCCCACACCCCTAGGGTTCCCAGGCTCTCCCTTCCTAACGCACACCCTCCAGATGTCCCCAGCAGCTAAATGTTAACTGACTCATTGCATCATTTTTTTGGTATTCATTAATAGGGCATAAAACTGGCTCAGGAAAATATCTGAGTAAAAGCTCAGAGTTAATCTGAGTGAAAGTTCAAACTTGGGCTCCAGTGACAGAAATGCCAGTGTCTTGCAATCTGGGGACTCCCAGCACCTGAGATGCCCCTGCTATGAGTGTTGAACCACCCAGGCCTCTTTGTAGGCAGCTCTGTGGGAAGAAGGACTGTTAATGCCCCTCCATTTACTTATGCCATAAATGCTGTCTGAGTACCACCTCTCACTTAATGTGCCCATTGGGCATACCCCTTGGTCCCAGCTCTGCTGAGCACTCAGCCTCCATTGGGCACCACCCCGAGATCAGAACAGTGAGTATTCACCACCCACTGGGCACTCAATAAAATATAGCTGTTATGATTATGAATACTCTCCGCTTGGCCCCAAGAAGAATCAAGCTGCCAAGGACTTCCTTGTGTGTACTATATATACATACAGAGAAGGATGCAGGACCCAAGGAGACACGTCTGGAATGGAGGGTCTAAGGTGATCATAGCCACCCGACCCACAACACTGATCCCTATGCAAGGCCCTTGTCAGGCTATGAGGACAGAGAGGACTAAGACACACAGGGCTTATGTTCCTGTGGAGAAACCTAACATGTGAGTACATACTATCTAAACTGTTGCAGGAAATGATACAGGTGCAGGCGAAAAACAGCAGGGAGCAATCAGCTGTGCTGGGCATGCATGGGGTCTGGAAGGGATTCGAGAAAACATGATGCTTGAGCTAAATCTTTACATATGAATAGGTGTTGGCCAAATGGCCAAGGGTGTGAAGGGTGTTTCAGGCAGAGGAAGCAGCATAAACAAAGGCATGGCAATGTGAGACAGACTGGCTTGTTCCTGAAGCTTCAAGTCCCTTCAGTAAGCCTTGAGCCCAGGCCAAGTCAGGGAGCTGCCAGAGACGAGATGGGAGTAAGCAGGAGTTGGATCATGGGCAGCGCTGAGGGGGCATTAGGCTGCCAGCTAAGGAACTTGAACCTTATTCTCTAGGCAACTGGGGAGCCAGTGAAGGGTTGTAAGCAAAGGAAAAATATCAGATTTCCCTCTGAAATAGGAAGTGGAGATAATGTAATATTCCAGCAATGTCATGAGATAGATGTAATCTCTTATTGTCATGATATAGAAGAGCAAACATCCTCAGAGAGGAGAAGAGATTCCCTGATGTTCCGTGAGTCTCAGACCCATACCTGGATCCAGGTTTAGTGCTCTAGTCTCTACCCATGATTCCCATGGGGCAGTCCTTAACTCCGTAAGTATTTAAACTCAAAATAGGTGATTATTGATAAAGTAGAAAATAGACTTCAGTTCTGGAACAGAACATACTGAAATCGCCTTTCTATTAGCTAAAAAATAATTTTGTTTCTAGTTACTTTTGTAATCAAATCAGGTGAAATAATCGTCATTTTGTCATAAGACCTATGGTTTTTTTATTACCACTCTGTGCCTGGCATTTAGATAGATTAGCTCTAATCCTCACAGCTATTTGAGGCAACTGCTATTGTTTACAGTTTTGCAGAGAATGAAACTGAGATTCGGAGAGATCCTGTAACTGTTGCAAGGCTACTCTGTTAACACAAGAGTATGGATTCAAATCCAGTTTTTTTTTCTGGTGCTGAGCCCCTTTATATCCCTGCATCTTTCTGCCTCTCAGTAATGCATTATCCCCTCTCCATCTGCACCATGTATCTGGCTTGCTGGACTCCCATACCATTTCTCTATCTCTGGGCCACACATTTGTTGCCGTGAGATGTTGCTTTAAATTTCACGTCTACAACAGCAAAGACAGAGAGAGGAGAAACTGAAAATCTGCCACCCAGTAGCTGCCCCTTCTAGCAAAGAGGAAGGATGCTACTTGCAAAGGGAATGCAGCTGCCTAACAAATTGTGTGTGACAAGAAAGTTGTTGTGTCAGGGCATTTCTACAGAAAGCCAAAATACATTGACACATCCCATCTATATAAGCTGATGGCTCGCAATTTATTGCTGACCTAATCTTGCTGTACTTGATGGATCCATCTTTATTTTGATCAGAGACTCCTGTTAGAAAGACAGTAGGAGACAAGGGCCCAGTGAAATATGTCCTAATGCTAGCAACAGCATTCCCTGCACCTCAAGGAAAGGTACATTCTTGCCAGTCCTTATGTAGACAGATATGTTCCAAGGACTTGAAGAAGGGTGTTTATTGTAGCTTTACATTTGCATTTACACATGCAAAAACATTGGGAAAATATGTGTCCTTCAAAAAGAAAAAGAATAAATTGAATGCAATATATGTCCAACAATGGAACATACATATGAGAGGAATGAACTAGATCTCTATGAATCAACACGTATATGCCTTAAGAATACAATGTTGATTGACAAAAGCAAGTTGTAGAACAACATGTGTGGTATGAGTAAAGCACACAAAAGCAATGCTATGTATTGTGTATGCATGTTTCTATGTAAAAATATTTAAAAGACTGAAAGGAGGCACACAAATTCATGACCATAATTCTCACTGCAAAGAAGGAGAGGGAATTGGAAGTGGGGATAATAAATTTCAGATGTGAAATTTATAGCTATTTCTGCATTTAAAAAAGGACTTGAAAATATATCAAAATGTTAACAATTACAATCCTGTGTTGTGAGTACATGGTTGTTTATTATTTTATTTTCTGTACTTCTCTGGGCATGTTTAAATTTTCAACATTAAAAGCACACAGAGGATTTTGAATGACAGAACTCAAGTCAGTTGGTCAAAACATCCACGTGGTTTATTTCTGTAGAAATTCATGGTCATGAAAGACACATGTTGGATCCACACACACAAGCTCTGACCAAGTCTGTCCTTTTTTGGCCCCATGCTATTCCCAGGATTTCAAAATGTGATTTAATGCTAGCCTTTCTTTCTGATTTGCATTGTTGTAGTACTAATAAGCCACACACATCTAAGCTGATGTAATTTACAAACATTCTATTTATTCAGCTGATTACTTCATTATTGCATTGCCACCTCCATAATGAAAACTGGGTACAAAAATGAGAGAACTGGTGGCTATAACTACTTTTTACCAAGTTCCTTCTGTAAACAATCATCTTGCCTATTAGCATTCTTTCAAATTTTAGAGAGGAAAATAACTGTGATTCTTAATAGCTCTTGTTGAATGTTACTTATCCACTCTGTCTGAACTCTGGCCCTGAATCAGTTGATAGTTGCTAAAAACACAACCTAACTGTTTATTGGTTGAAACAGGAAGAAGGTACCGTGCAGAGCTGTCAAATACACACTCAGGAGAAGCCAAATCACAGACAATATTGTTTTATCAACCCTGGGCAAATCAGTAGAGAAGAGCACATTCTGAGGCCCCTCCCTAGTGCGCAGCATCCTGCCTTGAGTAACTGTTTCAAAGTATCCACCTGTGGTTTCCACGAGAGTCTTTGACCTTTCCTTAAAGATCCAACTTTACTAGGCAATTGATTTTTGCTGGTCTCCCGGGCAGTCATGGAGATGGATTTCACTGGAGTTAATATTATCCTCTTTTTAGGACTTTTGCCAAGTGAGAATGTATTGTTAATGACCTTGTCTGGAGTGATACACTGTGTATTTGAGACAGGGGAAATGATGTGATGCTCTCCCTAATGACTCAATCTTGGACACAGGGATGGAAGAGGCCTTGCATGGAGACAGAGGGGCCTGGTGGAGTGCACACTAGCCGGGTTCCCTTCTAGGCAGCATGGGGCAGTGGACGAATTCAACCTCTGGAGTCCAACAGACCTCAGCTCAGACCCCAAGATCACTGCATACCAGCTGCACATCTCGGGCATTTCCCTCACCTGTCCAGGTGGCTGTGCTCCATAGCTGCCTTCCAGCAAAGCATAGGTGAAGCCCACATGGGGCTTGACACATCCTGGGTGCTCAGCAAATCTCAGTTCTATTCCTCTTCTCATCACCTTTTTTTGCCTTGAAAAGGAACACAAACTACAAAGAATCTTTGTGTTATATGTTCTTTCAGATGGAATAAAAATAAAAACCGTAATATACCTATCATGTTACACTTAAGGAAAACTAGAGGCCAAGATGGATTCAATAACATGCTAGGAATTGAGCAAAAAGCATTGCCTTACCTTGTAGACATATGTTGGGTCTCATGTTACTTGACTGCTCTGCAGATATGACACCATTTGCCTCTCTCCCCCTGCGCACCCCAGCCTCCCCTCCATCTCTACTCTCTTCTCTACCCGTTCTATGCCCTGGCCCGGCAGGACCAATCTCTCCTGGTCTGCCAGTGGTGCTGACACTCCCCCAGGACTTAGCTTTGGCCTGCTTCTCCTCTCAAGAGCAGTCTTGTCCTCTCCCACAGCTTCTCATAATCAGATCTGTATCTCTAGCACAAATCTCTCTCCTGAGTCTCAAGCCTATATTGGAATTAGCTACAGACTACTTTACATAGGTGTTCCACAGGCACCTGGAACTCGGCATGTCCCAAACACATCTTCCCCAACAAGCTCCTCTTTCACTCCGGTATTCCCCATTCACCCACACATTCACACTGGAAACCAGCATCATCCTAAGCCCCGTCCTCTCTAACCCACCCCTGTCCAATCATGCATCACTTTCTGTCCATGCCACCTGAGAGATTCCTTGTATGTCTGTCCTCCCAGACACTGCCATAGGTCCAGCTAACATCACTCACCGGCACTACTGCATGAGCCTCCCACCTGCTTTGCCTGCCACCAGGCTCTCTCCACCCCATCCAGCCTCCACACTGCAGCCACCACAACATCCTGAAACAAAGTTCTATGGGGTCTGCATGCTTACAAACCTTGCCCACTAGATAAAGTCCCAAGATCTAGGATGTGAGACACATTCCTCTGTTCCTAAGACAAACTGTGAGGTGCTGAAGGCAGAACCTGTGTCTTATATTCTCTGCATCCCCTGGAGTACTGTGCCTGGAGGTTGTTTATTCTCAGCAAATGTTTTGTAGGCTTGTAACGTGAGAGCATGCCTACATACGATCCAGGCCAAGCCTCTCATTGTCCAGAGCACAGCACAGCAGCCCAGAGATGGAGAGGGAATTGCTCAAGTCACACAGCTAGCTGTGGTTGAATCCCTGCATATCTGTAGCAGTTTAGAGTCTATGAAGATGTTCAGATATACTTTTTTATTTAACCCTAGGAGGTAGGTATGATTCTCCCACTATATTGATGAGAGAAGCGAAGCTCACACAGGTTGAAAGACAAGACCAGGATCATCGTGCTGCTAATGGACTGTCTTCTGATCTGAATTTGATACTCTTTTGACTAGCTAGCCACAATGTCAGGCACTCTGGGTATTTAGTAAATATTTGTTAGATGAATTAACCTATAATTGAATGATGATAAGCTAATAGCATTACACAAGTGAGCAAATATGTATTTACTGAATAGATGGGTAGGTGGTTATGCATAATTCCCATCTTGACTCTTTGCTCATGGTGACCTTGTAGAGGGGAAAGGCTGCACTCTCTTGAGTCAAATGCAGCCAACGGGAGCTTTGCCAAGAGTAGACAGACTCGGAGTGTGGATGGCACGCCGATGCCCATTGACTGTGAATTGTCCAGCTGGTCTTCCTGGACCACGTGTGATTCCTGTCAGAAGAAAAGGGTAAGTACCCAGGCATTTGGGGAGCACTCAGCTTCCAGAAGCCCTGATCCTAGGGTAGTAGTAGTAGGATCTCTATAAATGTTGGCTGATTGAATCAATGAATTCGATTCCTCTGTGTCTCCAAGTGACAATCAGATCCTTTATTTGATCTTTCAGGCTTTCCCAATCATATATGACCTTGTCCATGTTAGGAGCTTTCTGTCCCCACCCTTGCTCTTTCAATCCATTTTTCATGATGCAGCTAGGGGAGCTATCAAAAATACAAGTCTGGTCTATGTTTCCTCCAGTTTGAAACCACTCAAAGTCTACCCAAAGCCCTTAGGATCAAGTCCAGACTTATTGTATTCAAGGTACCACATGCCCTAGACCTGGCCTTCATCCCTATAAAACATGCCCCACTCAAGCTCACAGAACACTTGTATTTCTCTGTCCATTTCACTCTCTCTGCACCTTTATTCATGCTGCTTTCTCAGGCAGGAGTAACCTTTTCTACCTCCTTTGCTGGCAAATACCTTCTCCTAAGGGAGACCACCTCTTTGGTTCTGTAACTTCCCAGCCCCATTTGCAGTAGATAAACACCTTCAGTAAGTTATAACAGCTCTCCTTTCCTCCTGTACCTGAGCATTCTTCATTTACTTTTCTTTTAGTGTTTACCTTTCCATTAAACAGTGAGCTCTTGAAGGCTTAATCAGTTCTGTATCTTCAGTGTGAAGGCCAATTTCTGGAATATATTAGGTGCTTCATAAATATGTTTTGTTTGACCTCATTGTATCTTCTGACATCTCCATAAGGAAGAGAGGATAGTTGTTACACTTTCCCTTAAGCCTGTGGGTAAACAGGTTCAGAGCAGGTAAGTGATTTCTTGGGCTCAGATCACTGGCTCCTTGTCCAGTGTTCTAACACTAGAAACTCACAGTCTCTGCAGTATTTGTCCTTTAGGCCTGCTTGTCGTGTGAGGGCTGACGCAGGATCCCAGATCTGAGAACAGTAGATTCATCAGAGAAAAGAGAACCATTGCCATTTCCCCAGCTCCTAGGGAAGCCAAACCAGCCATGGGTTAGGACCCTAAAGAGGCTGTGCAAGTAGGTCCAGGAAGATTGCACAGAGCTAGTGGATCACTGTGGAGAGCAGGTGAGTTCGTTCAGCTCCCAAAGTAAGCTTTCCTGTTGAAGTCATCAACAGTGTTCCAATATTCTCTATAATTGTTTCATCTGCACCATGAACCAGGAAGACCCAGCATCAGCCAGCCAGCCAGCCAGAGCTCGTCTCTTGGAGTTTGCTACATACTTTGCCTCAGTGGCCATCAGCACTCTTACAGGGCCACTGGCTGAGGGTTCATCAAAACCTTTCAACTGAAATTGGAAGATGTCTTTCCTCCATCATTTCCATGCTCCTGAAACCCATTTTGACATTGGTGCCTGGGGTTTCCAGCAATGTTGTTTGTAGACCTCATCCCTGTCCTGCCAGACTGTCTACTGGGAAGACAGACCTTCTGGAAATGCAAAGGAACATAAGCGAATGGTTGTCTCTTCTTTTTGGATTTCCAATGCCATACAAGTGATAATTATGGCTGCTTAACCTGTCATTCTGCAAAGGGGCCATTATCCTGGTTTGCCTCCTTTGCTGCAACAGAATCTTGACTGTCACCAGCATTTGGAAGCCACCCAAATCCGATCACTTTCTTTCCCTGCAGTGGTTTCTCATTGCTCCATAATAAAGCATTCAATCTAATCTTACTAAGGCCTTGAAGGCCCTGCCTTACCTGCTACTGGTTGTGTTTCTCTCCAGCTCTTATCACCCTCCCTTCTGTACTCTTCTCTCTGGCCATGAATTTTTTTATTTCCTAGAACAAGATACAGTCTCTTTCGTCTCTCAGCTTTGGTACAGCAGTTTAGCAGTTTCTTCCACCCGGATTACTCTTCTCTACCCTCCTCCTGCCAGCTCTTCATGTTTGGTGCCTACCGTCACCACCACCACCACCTGAGACCTCCTTGAGGGCAGGCTGGAGGGCACAATTATGATTACAAACAAACAAGCATAAATAACACCTACCTTTTTCAACACTGGGTGGCTTAATCAATATTTTGGAAAATCAAGCAATATTTCTAGAGTAAACAGGAAGGTAAAGAAAGAAATACTGACTGCTAAAAATTATTAGCAATAAAAAAGAAAAAAGTACAAGAAATCGAGTGCTTGCTATGTGCCAGACAACGTAATGAGATCTCAGGTATATTATAAATATAATGGAAACTCCATAACTGTACATTTAGGTAATTCATTATCCCTTTTTTGTATATTAGAACACTGAGACCACAAAGGTTTAGTAACTTGCCAATGTCCATAACTAGAAAGTATCACAGTTAATTGGGACTCCAAAGTGCATGCTTTTTCATGTATAGAATACTGAGTAAATGAGAATACTTGAATCAATCCACTGGAGTAATGGAGCTGAGAGATTGTGGTTTTGTTCTACTGCACTGACTGCATCAATCTGTTTACTACCTTTTGACTCCAAAGCCCAAGCTTTTCCCACATTTAGCATATCTTTACTGATCACTGTAGATGCAGAGATCAAAAACAAAGTCCGTGCCCTCAGAGAGTTCACAGTCTCGTTGAGATAGTCAGGCAGACCCCAAGATAGATCCTTCAGGGCCTCGCTCAGCTACCAAGACCCCGGAGGCTCTGCCCTTGGTTCACCATGCTCCTCTCTGCTGCAGTACAGACACGCCTCCCTGCTCCAGCCCTCTCAGTTCTATGGGGAACCATGTGACTTCTCTGACAAGGAAGCTGAAGACTGTGTTACCAACAGACCATGCAGAAGCCAAGTGCGATGTGAAGGCTTTGTGTGTGCACAGACAGGTATAAATGGATGCAGGGGTGGGAGGGGAAAGCTAGCAAATGAGGTGATGGCGTATGATGACGGGGGCCTGGCCAGTGCCTAGTGCTCAAGATTAGGGTCATGTGGCAGGTCTGGGGGCCTCTTTGTCCTCTTTGACCTCTTTTTACATGTAATATTTCATAAAAACAACCCTCTAAAGTAAGTGTTAATATTATCCCCATTTTACAAATTAAGAAATTGAGAATTGGAGTCATTACTTTCCCATCCTACAGCAGGTAAATGGAAGAGCTTGCAATTAGAAATTTGGGAATTCAGATGACATTCACTGATATTAAGGACAGCAAAAGTATGTGTCCTAGAATCAGAAATCTTGAAACAAGTCTTATTTTGATTTGTGACCGAGGAGTAGTCACTTAATGTTTCTGCATGTTGGTGCTCTCAACAGAAAAATCAGAAGTGATGTTACAACCTTACAAGTTTGCTGTAAGCATCAAGTGATAACAATGGATATGAAAACTCTTTGCAGATTGTAAGCTCTGGGGCCTCTCTCAGAGGCTTGGGGCTAAGAACAATGTGCAAAGCCTACAACAGTTAACTAGGGTGGTTAGCATCATGTATCTTGAAAAATCTTTGAAGAGATAGTCCCTGTCATTCACGTTTGTACATCACCAAGTCTGACATAACCCTTAATACCTGATGTAGTCACTTAAAAACAACTTTCAATTAAAGGAAGGAAAAAAAGAAGGACAGATAGATGGACAGGCAGAGAGGGAAGGAAGGAAGGAAGGAAGGAAGGAAGGAAGGAAGGAAGGAAGGAAGGAAGGAAGGAAGGAAGGAAG